TATATATATAAATAAATTTATTTATCTATCTGTATAGAGAGAGTACCCGTTTAGCTACTACTCCAGCTTTTATTTACAGGCATTATCCAAGCGTCTGGGTAAAATTATTCGTGGGCAGCTAGACCAGGACAACCGTGGGGTGATTTATACAGATGCCTTTGTCTCCCGGCACCGAGCTCGCATCCGTGGCCTCTTCTCTGCAATTACTCGGTAAATTAAAACACCTATAACTACACTTTGAAGTGTAGTGGATGTTTTTTGTTTTTTTGGGGGGTTTTTTTTGGGTGGTTCTTAAACTTACTTGTGACTGGAGAAAAAAAAAAATTCTTCAAGTAAAGTTTAGTTTATTGGGGAAAAGAATTGTGTGAAGCTTTTGAATATGCTCACCAAAATACTCACCTTAGATTCCCTTTTTTTCTTTTTTTCTTTTTCTTTTCTTTTCTCTTTTTTTTTAATAGAAGTCAGATGAATAAGGAAAATAACTGACACTTTTTTTTGACTGAAGAGAGTATTAGTCAGTAGAACTTGTATTTGTCTGGAACGAATCTGTCACTACTCCCTAGGCAGTTATATATTAGCATCTACTTAACACATTGAATACAAAATAGTCTTTGTAACTTGACCAGTAGCTTTCTGTATCAGCAAAAGTTTATGTATGATAATTATTGATAATTATGGTAGCTGCGTTTTAAAATGTACATAGCTACATTTGGACTTAAACTTCCTAGGTTGTGCTAAAGTTCAGTGTAGCACCTGGGAGCTAAAATATGATGCAATTTTGTCTACCAGGGGCAATTCTACTATCTAGATTGTCCATGTGAGTTTTAGTTTAACTTACGTCATTTTGTTTTCTTTTTTTCCAAGGCCTACCCCTGTAAGTAACTTGATCACTCGTTACGGATTTCAGGAACATTTACTTTACTGTGAGTTTCATTCAGACTGTTTTGTGGTTCTTCTAGTTAATTGTTTCTTTTTTCCTGAAAGTATGCTTTCAATTAAGCATTGTAGTGTATAGCACCAATTCTGAAATAGAACTGCTAGCATAAAGTGTTGCACCTTTTATACTCTCCACCACTGAAGAGGTGCTTATGTGTATCTAAAGCAGTGAAAGCATTGATGAAATGACTCTGAGTGCAGAATGGTCCAATAATTTAGTACTTGCTTTTGTCATCTGTTTCCTTATTTGCCCTTAGCTACTGTCAGTTTTATCAGTGAAGCTCACAAAAGGGGACAGGTTTTGCAACTGCTGAAACTTTAGGAGGGACTTAGTTGTTTCTTGCTTCTAATGTTGCAGCTTTTCTTTGACTACCAAGACTCTTCTCCTGTCTGTTCAAAACACTGTTTCAAGCAGGATCATTAGTTATGTGTGCTGCCTGTCCAAGCACTGCTGCTTTTTGGAACCCTTTAGTGGCTTCTTTGCCTATCTTCCCATGAAAGTCAGTATAGTAAGGTTGTTCTTTTGGGGCAGTGGGTTAACTTTTTGCCTTCAAGGTACTTCACACGTGAGCTTTACTGAAATATTTCTCTGCTTACTTTCGTGTTCTTTATTTTAAGTTTATTCAGTAAAATTGAAAACCTTAGCAGTTAAATCATATAAACATTTTGCTTTTACATAATTAGTGTAAGATTTGTGGAGGATTTTTTTTTTTTCTCCTAGGAATGTATCATGCAGGTACTCATATATTAAAAGGAAAATCTGCTCTACTGCTTTGTAGTAGTCTTACATTAGCCAACAAATTTCAGCATGCAGTTGCAATCTCATTTTAAGACTGTCTGATCCTACCAGAACGTGATCATGCATTGCTTGTGTACAATTTCAGCCTGATTTGAAGTTCTAGTCTTAGTGAAAGTGTTTTTCTACATCACTATCTCCCTAAAAATAGCACAATGGCTATGTGAGGTTTTAGTACTTTTTTGGGTTTTTTTCAGTAAGTGTTCCTTTTTATATAGTTTATCCTTTTTACTCCCTTACAGTTTTTATTTTCTTCTATCCATTTTCTGTAATGCATTTTTTTAATCTGACAAATTTTGGAATACTTTAAAATACCATTTAGAATGTGTTATTTTAAGTATTCACTTTTTGTGCTCATCATTATTATCAGTGTTTGTCAGTTTTGTATCTCTTTCAGAAAAAAGTGTTCTAATATTCTAAATAGTCTGAGAATATTTAGTTGCAAGTTGAGTATATTACTTGCATAATTTATGAACAGCTGATTACTTAATCACCACTTAGTGTTAGATGAGACAAACAACTGTTTTTGTGTCTTTCACATAGCCATGCTGTTCTTCATATTAAGATGACCTCATGTTATGATGGGCAATAACTAATTTTAGAAAGGAGAAACCATTTGAGTTATTAATAACAGTAATTACTAAGCATAATGAAAGCACAATTTTTCCTCATTTCCAGACATTGTATCTGACCTAGACCAAGCACAGAGGAAAACTTGTGAACTTCAAGTTCTCTTGAAAGAGAACTAACATGACACTGCAAACTGCCCAGTCACCTTTAATTATAAGTGTGAGATTACTGTAGGTCTGTGCATGTTCTAGTGCTTTATTTTAAAACCAAGGCTATCTAGACGTGATTCCTGTATCAGCTGTGAGATCTGCAGTGAAAGCTTTTTCTCTGTCCTGATATTTTAGAATTGATACTTAAAATGATATAAACATTGTCACCTTCATTTCTTCACTTTTTTTTTCTTTTTTCTTTTTTTTTTTTTTGCCTAAGACTGAGTCAGTGCTAACTTTCTACAAAATTGAGATACCTATTTAAATTTTATTCTTTTTGTAAGAATTGAACTAAAAACAAGTTAAGATTTCCAGCAGAGAGCCAGACTCATTTTCGGGGTATTGTGTAAATAAGACCGACATGTTTTCCAGTTCCATGTTTTCCAACAGATTAAACTATTAGGAATTATAAAAATCTAGTTTGATTTTCAGCAGCTGTTTTGTAAGCTGCATTTTATACTAGGTAACTGAAACATGGCAGAATATGATTTTCAGCACTATTCTTAGTTTAGGTAAAATTGTTTCTTGTTTAAATCAGTTTTCTTATGTTTTTCCAGTGTAACGGCTGCTTAGGTTCTTTAGTGGCATTCTTGTCCAAAAGCTGGTAGAGTACAGGGACATATCTATACTGGGCATGTCTGGGGCAGCGGGAAAGAAGTCATGATATAGAATACAGTATTTCCTCTGGAATCAAATTTTCTGGTAAAGTTTGCTGAGAAGGAAACTAAACCTTCCTAGGTTGTAGCTGTACTAACCATGTTGAAGTGTTGGTCACTAACTCATATGTTACAAGTAAGGAGCCATACCATTTGATGTCTTTTCATGTTTGTCTGCAGGGTAACAGTATCAACATATTCCACACAATTAAACTGAGGTAAAAACTGCCAAATTTTGCTGCTTCCTACAGTTTTGTTAGTGGCTTTGACTGATCCTTGATCTTTCGTGGAGGTTGGAAGGGGTTTTACATCTGGTGTCATGTAAAAGACAGTAACAGAACATAGGATGCAAATCAGCCATGCCTGAGCACCTTTAGTGAATTAACAATATGTTACTTAGCATCAAGAGAGCCTTGCTTTGGTACTAAGTAACCCACATGATCCTTGCCAGCAACATTTGTGCATTGCCAGGTTGGTAATGGCGTGACTGTTGAAAACCATGAAGATAGTGACTATTACATTGTGTGCTCACATTTATTTGAGTGAAGTAGCAGCTTTTTACACTTTTCTAGTGTGTTCAGATATGTCTTCATCATGTTAACATGCATCCAGGGAACTGAAAGAGAACATTGTTAATAAAATGCTGATATACTTGGACTGTCTGGCCAGAGAAAGATAGTTTTATGGCTACAGTTCATAAATTAAAAGCTAAAACTTCCTAGGTAAGTGTTAAATAAAAAGTGTTTTAATCCTGCCAATGTAGTTTCCTCTTTTGGAATGTGTGCAATTTCCAGAGATTTTATCTCATTTATCAACATTTTCAGAAGTGTTGAAAGTAATTGTTGGAACTCATGAATGTTTTGCTAGAAAAAGCACTTCGGCTTCTAGTTTGCTTCAACCGAAAGGAACGAAATAGGGAAAATAATTGCTATGTTTTGAATAGTGGTTACATCTAAGTGAAAAATATTTCTTCGTGTTTTTTTGTTTATTTTTTGTTTTTTTCAGCTGTGCTGGAAGAACTTGTTAACACTGGTCGTCTAAAAGGCACTGTGGTTGGTGGGAGACAGGATAAGGCTGTTTTTGTCCCAGACATCTATGCCAGAACACAGAGCAACTGGGTGGATTCCTTTTTCAAGCAGAATGGTTACTTAGGTAATTGATCTTAATTTATAGGGATAAAATATCTTTAAGATGTCTTTAGGTAATTAGATTTATCCTAAGATAGCTCCTGTCTAGGGTTAAGTTGCACAGGAATAAGTGAAAATTAATACAGTAGTTGATATTCCCCTTGCTTCAGTTAAGTGTGTCATTTTAGCACAAAGAACCGTATTTCAGCAGAAGGAACCGTGGTGCTAAACAGTAGCTTTCTTTCTCAGAGAATTAAAATGCTACTTGTACTGTGATGAAAATATTTAAGTTGACTGCTCATTTTGGACTTTTCAGAGTGTTGTATTTGAATGAGGTAGGTAGTTTCAGGTGAGGCAATAAAACGTAAGCTGTTATGCAGTGCACAGGAAGAACCTTTTCCAAAATAAGATTTCACAAAACTGAAGTGGGCACAGTGCCCATGCTGTGCCTGATTTGAGTCTAAACAAGTCTGTCCTGTTTTAAAACTGAGCAATGCTGATGCTAGTGTTTTAAAAGAGGAGCTATGGGAAAATATAGACCTGTATAAACATAGGGAAGTACCCCCACAGTCCCAAAGGGCCAGTCCCTAAATAACAGGCAGGCTCACATTCCAAAAAGTCTCAGCATATTTTAATGTAGTACTACTAAGTGTTTCCATGATATTGCTTGACTGAAGGAGTATCTGTCAAAGTCTTTAGATGTTTTCAGAATGTCTAAGTATAAACTAAGTATTTGAGATATTTTGCTTGTGGGGCATTGCATGATCCTGCGAGTATATCTGAATAGCTTAAGAAAACAAAATGTTTGGACAGTATTGTGGATAAGTGCTCATTTTGCACTAGAATACATTTTCTTTTGCAAAAAGTATTTAGAATCTGATAAAAGCAGATTTAAAAAAAAAAATAGGCCAAAATCATGTCTGTAAATTTCTGTATTTCTATTAATTATATCTAGCTGTACCATCTTTTACTGAACCAAGTTTTAAGTCATCATCTGCTTGAAGTAGTACTTGTTTGTGTTGTCTACATGTAAGTTTGTCCATATGTAAACTTGTTTTTTATACTGCTGTTCCTGCTTTCAGGAAGGTTTACCAGTTAAGATTTCATATGGTTTTGAAGATACTCATATTAACAGACTTATAACTATCTTTCAGAATTTGATGCGTTGTACAGACTTGGCATCCCGGATCCATCAGGCTACATTAAAAAAAGATACAAGTCTACACAGCTCTTATTCCTGAGAGCATCTTGTGTTGGTCAAGAAATTGTGGATCAAGTAGAAGCTTCTGTAGAGGAAGCCATCAGCTCTGGAAGCTGGATAGATGTAGCAGTAAGCTGTCTTATTTATTTTGCCAAATTTTTGTGTCCAGTGATATCCTATTGGAGATTAATGCATCTATAATGTAATTCCCATCTTGTTAGGCTTGTTAGGTTTTTTTTTTTTTTTTTTTTTTTTTTTTTTTTTTTTTTTTTTTTTTTTCCCCTCCTAAGTAGTGAGGTGTTAGCGATTTCACCCTGGATAAATCCCGATTAGAAGCCTTAGAAGCTAGCTGTTCACTTACAGGATTTCTGTATCTGGTGAGCTGCATTTTGAAAGAATTCCTGTGCTTTGTTCCAAAAATTATCCTGATATTCCAGATCAGTGTTGATCACATTGCATGACCTGTTGGCACATTAGAAGATTAAAAATAATACTTACTTTTAAGGTATTAATTTAATTTTAGAAGCGCAATACATTTTGAGTAGCTAACAGTATTGAATGGGGTGTCTATGGATCCTTTTTGTGCATCTAGAAGCATGATTTTCTATTTTCGAATAGATGTTGTATATAAATGGTTTTCATTTTCTTTACCTTAGACTCTTCTGCCCAGCTCTTTGTCAGTAGAAGATGCTGGCATTTTGCTTCAGCAAGTGATGAGATCTTTCAACAAACATTCTTCAGGTTTAGTCTTCAGTGACACCATCGTGGTTAGTGAGAAATTTTTAAGCAGCTGTATTGATCTGTTTTCTGATCTGATGCAACAGAAAGCTGAAAAGGTACTTTTTCTTTAATTGAACTGTATGTGATACATTTTGAGTGTTGGGGTACAGTTTATCTAACTTTGTTTGCTGTTACCAACTCTACACCTCCTGTGAAGCGTAGCTCCAGGAGGAGGACAGGAATGAAAAAAGAATGTTTATGTAACATCTGAAACTTAATGTGCAGTAAATTGTTGCTCACGGAACACCATCATTCTAACAGTGAGATCAGATGTTGAATGAGAAAAGAAAAAATATGTCTTATGCTGTTGCACTTGGAAAACATCATGTTAGATTAGTATGCTTCACAATGGCCAAGTGGCATGAATGTCCCTATATATTTTTTTTATTAATGTTTTTTTGCTATTAAGTGAATGATCTTTATTTTAGGAAATGAAAAATAACCCTGTTAATTTAATCACTGAAGAAGACTTAAAACAGGCATCTGTTTTGGAAAATGCATATACTAACAAAAAAGACAAAAAGGATGAAAGAAGGAAGAAAGCAACAGGTAAGGTATCAGCATGTAGTTTTATTTACAGGGAGAGCAAAATGCATTGTTGAGCCTTTGGAATATTTAAAGTTTAAACATAAAGTCCACTATCTACCTCTAGTCCATTGCAGAAGATAGGTAGGAAATAATCAGACGACTTCCTACGTTTATATTATCGGTATAGAGATAGCTGAGGTGTTTTTTACTCTTTCACATGTTTCTGGTTTTTAAAATATTATCCAGGCTAAGTGTTTTCAGTCCTAGAGAAGACTTTATATGGATGTTGTGTTGCTACAGCACTGCTGAGCACTCTGTGTTGAACCCACATGCAGAGTTGTATGTGCCATTGAAAGTAACAGAATTAGAGCGCTGATGCATCTAGCTTAATTGAATATACTCATTTGAAAAATAAAACATGAGATTCTGCTCTTAAAAAGGCCATGACTGAGTTGGCATGGAAACTGAACTTGTTCTTGCCACAAGAGACTGCAGACTTTTCTAGGCCATAACTGAAGCAGAGAAACTTGAACTTTGATTGAACTGTCAGAAATAGAATGTCTTCAGTTTCCAGCTTTCTGCAGAGTAAGACTCAATTATTAAGTCTATGTTTTTTATGGATACCTTCACATCCACAGATAATGTATGCTGCACCATCAGCAAATGCTGTCCTGATTTATTTTCTGTATTGGTTCTTAGGTGTATTACCCCCAAGATGATTAATATTGTGGTATAAAAATTGGGTGTCATTATAAAATAATGACAAAAAGTGGCAAATGTCACATTGCCCATTTTTTTTATATATATATATATATATACATATGTGTGTGTGTGTTTCACTTAGTTTTTCAAGACTATGTGTCTGTAGATTTAATTATTCTGGAGTTCAGATTTCTTCCAAGTGGGGGGGGAGGGGGGAAACAGCAAGCAACAAGCAGCAAAGCAGCTGCTTTGTGAGGAGGAACTATATTGTAAATTAAGATGCTGTTGGCAGTGTTAGTACATTGTACATGGATTACTGCATCTAGGGACTAAATAATTTATGTTTGTCAGAACTGGATCACATCGTTGCTCTACAGTCATATAGGAAAAGCCGAACAGGAATTAGTGTTGTAGTTAATTGAGTGCACACTTGCAAGAGTATTTTTGGATAAGCTATGTAGGATTATTTCCCTTAACCCTTATGCTGCCGCAGATTTTATGTGAAACATTTTTGAGTAGCTCAGTTATTTAGAATCAGTGAATGGTGTTATTAAATGCTCTGTCAACCAGCAGAAAAATCTGTATCCGTGATATGGACACTGGTATTTCCTTTTTTGTTTGTTTGCTTTTTTCGGGTTTTTTTTGGCTTGCTTTTTTTTTTCCTTGATGACGTGTACCTTTGATATGATTAGTATTTGTATTTATTAGTGACATTTGTTTAAATGAAGCTTTAGCTCTCTTTTACTTTTTTTAAGTATAAAATCGTCATAGCTGTAATAAGACTCTGGAATGTGTGTTCTGGGTTGAGGGGGTTCAGTTCTGCTTTCCTGTTTACTAATCGCCTCTATCCCCACCAGAGGGCAGTGGAAGCGTGAGAGGAGGAGGAGGTGGTAATGCTAGAGAGATCAAGATTAAGAAAACTAAAAAGAAGGGAAGAAAAGATGCCGACAGCGATGAAGAATCGCAAACAACTAGCACAAGTTTGTCATTTGTTTTGAGCACTATCTTCAGTGGCATGCTCTTATCAATTGCTTCTGCATATCTCTGATCTCTGAAACATGATCACACTTAAATGTTCTTTTTTGTTATTTGATGGAATACCAATAGTGTACTTCCAACTAGACTCTGATAATGACAGAAAATACTTTTAAATGAGATATTTGATGTTATGAAGTGTAGTATATTTTCTGCAATGCAATTCTGAAAGATCCACTTAATTTGCATTTAAATTATTTTTCAAGATTGCTCAGCTATTACTTTTTTTTGTATAGCCTTACATGATTTGCAATTGATGTTGCTAAGACCGCTCACTTGTAGTAGCTGAACCGTATTTGAAGAATGCTGTTTGACAGACTTCACTTCTGAATGATTTCTTTTGTAGGAAAAAAATAGTCATCAGATTTCTGAACCAAAAATCTCACAATAAATCAGATACAGCTATTCAAATATAAATTATACCATTCCCAAAACATGATTTAAACCCCCTCTGCAGCTGCTTGTCTAGTCTTATAGTTCATTGCTGCTGTGGCCCAAGTGGGAAGCTCACTGATTTCCATTCATTCGGTTTCCTTATGTGCAGAATATTGCTCTTCTCATGCTGCACCCGGAACATGGGACATCCGTCCTTTTCTGGTTCCCAGCTACCAGCCTGAATTCATTCTTAAATGTAAAAACCTCCTTTGCAACATGCAGATAAACTTGATAGTTTTCCCCGAAACAAAACATAGATGCACCAATTCGTGTATGTTTAAAGCAGTGTATGTGTTTATCATACTCCTTGGAGCTTCACATGAAGTTCAATATTATTTGATTATCATCTTATATAGCCACCTGAAATAGAGGACACTCTTTTAAGTGACAGTGTATCTCCTTGAATGGGGTCTTTGGAGGAAAAAAAAAAATTTCTGTTCGGTTTAGCTTTAAAGTGTTTCATCATCATAATTTCTGAACTAATGCATGGAGCCAGACAGTTTCAAAGTCTTTCAACAAGGACCCATGTCCTAGTATATTTCTTAAGTTGTCTGCAACAAAAGTAATTTTTAAGTGATCAGAAAATATGCATAAAATTTAACTAGCATTAGCTTTAGCTAGTCTTTTTTTTTAGTTGTTGTTTATGCATTTCTTTTATGCAGTTTTCAACTTTGAACCATTTCAGTATCTCATGCCACAGTGTAACTGCAACAATATTAAATGCAATGTTTTGTCAATGAATGTTGCTCGTGGCCACTGCAGGCAGAAAAAAGCAGCTGGAGTTCCCTTTCCTGTCCCAAGAAGAAATTCAGGATGTTTTAAAGACCCACATAGAGGATTGCCCTGAGGAGCTTATTACAGAACTCGCTGGACATATAATAAGGTAAGTGCAGTGATTAATTTAAGCTAATAGGAGACGGTCTTCTATTTGTTTCAAATGCATCTTCTTTTTTTTTTTTTTTTTTTTGCATGTGGATAGGTAGATTTGTTTGTGTTGCTGATGGAGGTGAACCACAGTATTCTCTTTCTGTGCAACTCTGTATTACACAGATCCTCACATATAAGAAATCTGTGTTGGTACAGTAGTAAGAAATACTTCTGTCTGACAGCAGGTGATTTTTGTGTTCTTTGTCAGCAAGCATTTTCTGGTTCATGGGTGTGTTTTCACTGAAGCTTGTCCTGATCTGTGTTGGGATTTCCTCAGTCTCATCTTCTGTACAGTGCCTGCTACATATCCCCCTGACATCTGTGTGACTGGTAGTATGATAGGTCAGCAAACTGATCTAACACACCATGCATGGTGTAGCCAGTCATGCTTTTGTAAATGCCAAAAGTGTATTTTAATTTCCTAGGGCTTTGTTATGGTTTTGATTGTGTTTTCATTTATCTCATCAATCTGTGGCATTCATGTCCCACTCATTTATTGTGTAATGAAGTAGGTTTCACTACTGCTGATATATTTGGAAAAGCATACAAAGTTTTATACTTTAACATCTCCCTTTTTCTCTCTTCTTCCCTTTTCTAAGACCTCTGACAAAAAGTTACCAGGATGTTGTACGTTCTGTTTTTACATCTTCATCATCTTCTTCCTCTGGAGCCAGCAGAAGACAGACTATGAAGGACTTGCAGGAAGAATTCTCCAACTTGTACAATAACATTCGATTATTTGAAAAGGGAACAAAATATTTCACAGGTACAATAAATATATACTTTTAAAAATGTACCCCATCAAGGATGTAGAATTTGTTCTAGAATCAACATTTAAGATCAAAGAGCAACACCTTCTGAAAGGTGAACTTAAGGATGTGTTCACATTGCCTAGCTCTAACCAGAAGATACTGCTGGAGTGCATAAATGTGCACCTTAACTGAATTATGTTTTTTATTTCATACCCATAATCTTCATTCTATCAAGGTGATTGTGAGTTCTTGTTTGTTTTTCCAAATTGTTTTTCTCCCTTCCCTGATTTTGTGTTTTTTCTAAAATTAAGCTTTGTTCATTGTCTGCTGTTTCACTAATAAGATTATAGAATATGCCTGTCCCTAAGAAGCTTCACTGAAAACCTTCCTTCAGGTTGATGGTGAAACATTAGTAATTGCTCCTTGAGAAAAGGTTCTCAAATAAGGGGTAGATATGTGTAGATTTACCTTGTAGTGGGTTACTCTACTGGAACTCTCTTCAACTGCATACACTTTTTTTTTTTTTTTAACCAAATAAAGTGATAAGAAAATATTATAGATATTTTCAGGATTCTCTGCTGTAATCAGCTTTTTTTGAGAATTTTCACCATGGAGGGTGTTCAGCAAAAGGAAATATTAATCAAAAATATGTTCCTATGTTTTGGAATAAATTTAGTTATTTTCCATTAGCTTCTGTTCTGCTACCTCTCTCTGCTACCTTCTGCTACCTCAAGTACTTTTGACTTGTTGACTGGCCATGTTTGTTCATTAGCAGTGTGTGCTATTGAACTGGATGCATCTCTGGACCAATAACCGTGTGCTCGAATGCACATACAGACCTGAAAGGTTATTTTCACTGAAGTGTGCTCTACAAGCAACCTCAAATGAGGGATGGTAGCCTCATACGTCCAGATGACTTTCCCATGGTTTATAGCCTGCATCTTGGGAAACACTATAGTGTCCTTTCCTCTGAAACCCACTAACTACTGAAAACTACTTTTAATGACAGGCAGTTTGTTTTTCTTTTTTTCTTTTTCAACAGATGAGACTCAGACTAACCTGGTCAAACACCTGCTGAAGACTGTCTGTACAGACATTACAAACCTTATTTTCAACTTCCTAGCATCTGATTCAATGATGACGACAGAAAATTCTTCTGCTATCACAAGTGAGGTCTGCAGATACCATTTATTTTTTAATAAGCTCAGGCACATCAGTGATGTTCACCTAATATATTTAATTATCTTCTGTTTAAATATTCATGCAGATAAGATATTACCGATGACTTCTACTCTTTCACCACAATAGGTCAGGATGAAGATTTTAGGTAAACTACCAGAAGACACCAGAGGTCCTTTAACTAAGCTGCATACTTCTCTGAATGGCAAGGTAAAGTTTTTCAGAATCTTTGAGTTCAGGTTTTCCATTCTGCCAATACTATATTAATAAGAAGCTGATTTATATAGTGTTGTATGGTTACTGCTGCTGTTGTAAAGGTTGAACCCAGCATTGTAATTTGAATTTGTGTAAGTGAATAAAGTACTTTTTCATACCCAGAAATTTTTAAAGGCAGAAAGCTGGTTTTATATTTGCTATTGATAGGCACCTAGCACTTTGCACTCTGCTTCTAGATGGATCCAGTGCTTCTTTTATGTGTAAAGGAGAAGAAACTGCAGATTCTCAGCTTTCATTTAAGTGGCTTGTATCTTTCCTTTTTGCTGAAACTCATGATCCTTATTCTGTGTATTCTGTAACTGATAACATCTTGGGTATTAAAAAAAAAAATCAGACCCTAACCATTTAAGTACCAAGGAAGGTAGCTTACTTTTTTATGCAAGAATCCATATTGATACATTTCTTTCCTCTCTTGATATTTCATTTTTTTAAGACTTATTGGTCTTAAAAGTGTGTTGGTCTTAAAAGTGTCTTATTGCTTTCCTCTCTTGATATTTCATTTTTTTTAAGACTTATTGGTCATAGTGTGTTTTAATGTTTAAATATGTGAGCTATTGAAAGATGAACAAAGTTAATTTTTATTAAATACTCTTTTTCTTGTTTTTTACGTGTTTATTCTAAATGTATTCATTGTCATCTGTTTGGCAAAAATTGTGAAGTGTTTTGGGATTTTTTTTTGTTTGCTTGTTTGTGGGTTTTTCATTGTTGTTTTTGTTTTAAACCTGATAATACAAATCAGATGTTTGAGTCTGTTCTTTGTTACAGAGTTTAGAAGATTTTCTTTCTTACCTTGATTCTGCAGCAGATGTTTGTGATATTATGGTGAAAAAAGGGGACAAAAAGAAGGAAAGGTACCTTTAATATTATTTGTTCTCTATATGATGCATGAACTGTAGCACTGTTGCTGCAGCAGTGTCAGGTGGCCAGTTCAGTAGCAATCACACAGAAAGGATACATGTGAGTTTGAGAAGGGGCTGTCATCTTTCCCAAACTGGTTAACTGGAAAACACAAAGGCAGATAGCCCTTATTTGCTGGGAAAAAGATGAGGGTTCTTAACTGCTTAACTGAATGGTTATTGCAACACTTCAAAACACTTCAGAAGTTCTCAAGGGGGATTTCTAAATCTCTGAGCTCTGCCAGTGCTAGCAGAGCACTTTCATCCTGGAATTTCACATCCAGAACCAGTCCCTTTGACAGGTTCAAAAATTAACATTAACGAAAATCAAAATAAAGATGTATGTTTTAGAACCTATTACAATAGGACAGAATGAGAAATGCATTTTATACTCCTTTTCCTTAGGCAAGTCCTGTTCCAGCATAGACAAGCTCTGACTGAGCAGCTAAAAGTCACAGAGGATCCAGCTCTTGTTCTGCACTTGACATCCGTGCTGTTATTTCAATTTTCAACCCACTGTATGCTTCATGCGCCGGGAAGATCGGTACCACAGATCATTAATTTCCTAAGCAGCAAGATCCCAGAGGTATTCCTTTTTCTGGCTTTTTAACGGGAGAATACCGTTTTGACAGAACGTAGGAATAGTGATTTATATTTATGGCTACGGCTGTGTGAGGCTGGCATCTTTGTGTTTTTGTAAGCATTACTTTATGAGCATAACGTACAAGGTCTCTGATCTGTATTGTACTTCAGACCTATTGTTGCAGGGATCTGAAACAATACCTTTTGTAGATATTTTGCTATTGAAATTTTACTACTAAAATTAGTACTGTAGCTTTACCTTTACTTATAGAGCAGCCAGCTGTGCATTATTGGTTGTTACAAACTACTAAAAATTCTTAGTCTCATTTTTCACAGCTAGAATGTGTTTGAGCTTTTCTAACTCAATTTTGAAGTCAGAGGTACCCCTTCCAAAATAAGAAGGTTCAATTCTATGCTGTAGTGTGCAAAAAGTGATATTGCTCATTTTACTCAGAATTTGGATTGTAAAATCTAGGAGTCCCTGCTGGGTTTGGGCTAGGTGATCCCTAGAGGTCCCTTCCAACCTTAAGCATTCTGTGAAAATATCTTGATTTGTTTGTCAAAAATGTTTATCATTAGTCCTCTTTAGGCAGTAATGTGAGTTTTGTTGTTGTTTTTTTTATGTAGCTTGTCTGCATAGCTTTTTCATAATGTTGATACTTTGCTTTGTTCTGCTTTTTGCCTTAGGATCAGCATTCTCTTTTAGTCAAGTACCAGGGACTGGTAGTGAAACAACTGATCAGTCAGAGTAAGAAAACTGAGCAGGGAGATGGTGACATAACAGAAAACGTAGAAGAGGAGGAAGCAGATACCATTCGAAAAGAGCTCCAGGAAATCACTGCCTCTATCAAAGATCTCGTTCTTAGACCTAGAAAATCTTCTGTAACAGAGGAATAAAATCATAAATTCAGTGTATCCATATCCATAGCACCATCAGTTGTGTGGGGTTTGTTTGTTTGTTTATGTTTTTAATTCTGAAGGTAAATATCACAGAAAATGCTTGATGAATTTTTTTTTTTTTTACAGTTGCAAATTACAGCCAAGGAACATAGTTATTGGGTGATGGTGATAACTGGTGTTTAGCTCTTCATGCTGCTGCAACATACATAACATGTCTTGTAATGTATTAAATGTAAACGTGACGGAACTCGGTTGTGAACACTTCGGATATGAAATCTGTTTTAAATGGGCATCTTCATGTGAGCCCTCAAGAAATGGTTTGTTCAAATAATAGGGTATTCCTCTACGCTGAGCACAGGCTTATAGTTTTGCTTTTCTGATGTGGATTTCTAAGAATTGCAGCACTGCGTATAAGCCTGCGTATCTCCATTTCAAAGACCAGTTTTGAAACTGTAATACTTTTATCTAGTAGTGTACAAATGAAAGGCCATCTTTACTTTTCTTTGTAAGTAACTGATATTTTGAGCTTTGGTATGAACAACATAGAAATTCAAAATTGTTTGCTAAGCCACAAAAGTAAAAACAAGTACGAGTAAAAATCCCTGAATCTAAAAGATGCAGTATTACTGTGACTTTTCTAAATAGGCTGTAGTCTTATGAAAATCAGCGCACTCAGGTTCCTAATATATCCTGTTAATGTCTATAGTAGCTCATTTGAAAACTAGTATTTTAGGCAGAGGAGGAGATGCCCTTTAGCATGGGTGTTTTGTGGGCGAAGAAACACCATTATGCCTGTTGTATTTAACAGCCTCTGTGTTCGTTCCACCAACTGGTAGAGTCCTCAGTCCAGGTGTTATAGTGGGTAGAGACACGAGCTTCACATTCTGTGGCCTGCTCTGAGGGAGCTTGTATTATCTGGAGTTTCTTGAAAGCAATTCTTAACTTTTAAAATCTTTTTACACAAGCTTTATATGCTGAAATCTGTCTGAAGAAGCTAAATATTAGTGTTTCCCTCAAGATTTTACCAGCCTTATTTGTACGTGAGTTGTATGAGCGTCTTGGGAAAGTGGAAAAGGTAAAGTACATCAGAGTTCTGCCAGTTTAATGACATAATTTTTATATGTCAATTATTTTAACTATCTTTTTAGAGAAGATCGTTCTCAAATATGAACTACTTTAATGTTACTGAATCTTGTTTTACTTCCATAATGCCCAATAATGGTTTGGGTAATTTCAGGCTTTTGCATAAAATGAAGTTTGAGTAGTAAACAAGAAATATAGCTTCAAATACCACTGAAAATAATTCAACCTTTATGCCAGAATTCTTTGATACCAAAAGAAAATAGTTTGGATTCTGTGCAAGTTGTACTTTGTTTAAATATTTCTCTTTTCCAGCAGTATACATATTCTATAAACTTGGCCCAAAATATCTTCAAGCCTGAAATTGCAACAAACAAAGCTGACATGACCAAAGAAGGAAATTTGGCAACAATTTAGTGGAGTTTAAGTTAACTTTAAGGTTAAAAAATGGACTATGCATCTATTGAAAATCACTAGTGTTTTACAATGTTTACATTGAAGCACTTTTCTTTACCAATTGTAAAGCAAAATAGTTGAATTCCTTTCCTTTGGAGACAGAAGCAAAGGTAGGGGCTCCCCTTTCTCTTGCTGGAGCTGACAGTAAAGGACATGGATGATTAAGAGATTAAAAAGTACTATGGCTATTTAAATTTGTTTAAGAAATAAAGTTTGCATAGAGTGAAAATGTTTGATTTCTTGTTAATTAGCCAAAGCAACTATAATATTCCTATGCTTGATGTAAATGACTTTATATGACATTGTTCTATTTTTAAAATAATATGCCATATGACATTATGCAAATATGAAATGATTTTAATAATATTAAATGATGATGTATTTAAAATACCTTCTGTTTGCTTAACCAGTGAACCAGTCTTACATTTGCAGCTTTCAGATGGCATCTGCTAGGATGCATCATTTGATTTAACATCAGACTTTGAGTGTCCCTGTGTCTCTGTTCGATGCTGTGTGACTGGTTAATGTAAAATCTACTACGTAATGCATTGACTTGCTATAAGGTAGACAGTAATACGGATGATGAAAAGTATATGTATTCTTCCAAGGTATGTAGGAAGCACCAGGATTCAGAAGTGTCCGTTGGTTACTGACAGAATTCTAGGTGCCATTGCTTCAGAAACCTTCTCAGGTTATTGTCTGTTAATGTAGAAAATTGGGACCAAGAAATTTGGGGTGAAATTAGGGCTGAAATTGGCCCATGGGTGCCTTGGCAGTGGTGCCAGCAGGTTGGGGTTCCCCTCAGCCCTGTGGGAGAGCTGTGCCCACCTCTCGGCTCCCCAGTACCAGAGGGACATGGAGCTACTGGAGAGAGCCCAGCGTGGGGCTACCACGATGGTCGTATGAGGGGGCTGGAGCATCTCTCCTGTGAGGAAGGACTGGCAGGGCTGGGAGTGTTGAGCCTAGAGAAGAGAAGGCTGAGAGGGGAACTTACCAGTGTGTACAAATACGCTAAGCGGCAGTGGGGGGAATGCCTCAGGAGGATGAGGCCAGGCTATTTCCAACGGTTCCCCATGGCGGGAAGAGAGGCAATAGTCCCAAACAGCAACGCAGGAAGTTGTTCCTTGAATTTGAGGAAGAACTTTTTTTCCTGTGAGGGTGACTGAGCACTAGAACAGCCTGCCCAGAGAGGTTGTGGACACGATCCTGTATAATGTGACCCTGGTTAAGCAGGCGATCGGATTAGATGGTCTCCAAAGATCCCTTCCAACCTAATCCTTTTGGTGAAAAATCAATCTTCAGTTTATCAAATGTTCTGAGAAAGAAAGAAAAGAAATACTCATTTTTCTGAGTATTTTTCTAATTGATACTTTTCCTCTCCCAAGAATGGATATACATGAGAGGAAGAGTGGTCTCATCTTAGAAATCAGAATTCAGTTCGCAAAGTAAAACTGCTTATTGGCTTATCCAGGAAAATGAAATGTAATGCAGTGTACAATGTATAAGTCAAACTTTGGCATTAATAGTTCGAATCGTTCAATTATTCAGTTTGGCTTTAAGTAATAGTGCCAGTCTCTCCTATTCTTTAGCCTATAGTACTGGGGGGGGAGAAAAAAAAAAAAAAAAACTTTTTTATTTTTACAGACTCATACTGCTGATGGAGAATATGCACACAAATATTTACAAATGTGCTTCTCCTAGCCTTATTTGCTGGAACTCTCCACAAACAGGCCCAGAGAGGCTGTGGAGTCTCCTTCTCTGGAGATCTCCCAAACCTGTCTGGATGCCGCCATGTGGCACGTGCTCTGGGTGTCCCCGCTGGAGCAGGGCGTTGGACTAGATGATCCCTAGATGTCCCTTTCAACCTTAACCATTCTGTGATTCTGTGAAATAGAAGTTATCTTAAGCATAGCTAGAAAGCTGCTTTCCCCAGCAGCAGCCTTTCCTTTGCCTGTTTGTGATTAGCAAAATGGGAGTTTCATAAGTTTGGTTAATTGCAAGTTGGCGGGAAACAAGAAAACTTGAACTCGCAGCCTTCTTTGTTGTTTTTGCAGTTCCTTTAACAATCTTTTGGCACAATTTTCCAAGTAATAGCTTTGGGGGTTGTGGTCTGCATAAATCCATCCTACAGCTTAGTCAGTTGCAGCTCCAGTACTTTCACCCTGCATAGACCTGTGAAGCAGGCTAGTCACGTTGCTGCTTAAACCTTTTATAGATATCTAAAAGATTATATAAGTGTGTAGAATCACATACTTTATGTATATACATATATATGTGTTCATTTGTACAGTTATATTTTCCTTAGGATCAGGATCTAGAAAACAATATTGGATTGGGAAGGGGGGACTTAGGACTCTTGCAGAGAACCTAAGAGTAGCTGCACTGCATGACATCGAAGGTCTTTCAAGCCCAGTATTGTGTCTCCAGCAGTGGGCAAAAGGGGCACCTAGGGAGGAATATAAGAGCAAGGCATGTCAAGATGTTTCCCTTGAGCGCTGTTCAAGCCTCCAAGTACGTGCTGCTCAGCCTATCTGCACGGTGCGTGTACTTTAAGCATAAAAATGACAATGATTTGAAGCTTTTGGGTAAACAATTCTTGAGAGCAGAATTCCTTCTCTCTGCTCACCCACATAACTGAGAACATATTCAGCAAAGGCTGAAGATGTTTTCTCAGGAAAAAAAAAAAAGAGTATTTCTTTTGGAATTGTTGAGGAATTGCACTTTTTTTTTTCCTCCCCCTCAAAGTGGAAAGGCCACTTTGAAAAGTTTAAAGAGGAACACCATGCTGATTATGTAGTTGATGAACTCCCAAGTTTTCAATAAGATGAAGCTTAGGTCAGGACAGGCTTGTGGTCAGATGAGATGGGCAACTTTCTATTTCAGGAAGCTCAGGAGAGAGAGTTGTATAAGATAATGTCTAACTGGTGGCCTGAAGAAGCAGCAGGATTTATTTTCTTCCCCTTCGATTGTACTATGATTAGCATCATTTGCAAAAAAAAAAAAAAAAAATAGCTTTGTTTTAAATGCACATAAGTGTGTCTTGCATTACTAATATGCGCATCAGAAAAAAAAATGGAAGTCTTTAGAGATTCAGGAAGACAATATACTTGAGGAGACATCTGTATCTTTAGTCTCATCTCTGGAAAGAACATATTGTATTAGAACTGCTTCTAAGTGTCATTCGCTCTTGACAGATCCACTTGGATACTATTTTTGGCTTCTTTTCACTTGTGAGCTTCAAAAGATACTTAGTTAAGAATTGTACTTTTGGATTTTTCTGTTTGGAAGTAAAGGCAACAGGAAGCTTTTCCTGATTCTCTGTCTGGATTCTAGATGAGATAGGACTGTTGCCCTTCCTTCTCAATCTGCAGTACCTCAGGCTTGAAAAATTAGCAAAGTGCTAGATCTAATAGAATTCATAGTTCAGACAACAAACATGAGAAAAAAAATCAATATAGTTTCTGTAGAGGAAAGTCAGTGTTTGCAGAGTTTTAATAAACCAATCAGCCACAGCTTGAGATGATGGATTCTTGGCAATAAAAATCCCAGTAATTATAGTCTTAATTACAAGCCATTACTTAGATACGGATAACCTCCAGAACACATTTTTCAGATCTGGAAATTCTAATGAAGGCTTCACGTGACAAGATACTTATTTAAACTGTTCAAATATTTACTTGGCTATGATATTTATTTAAAAAAAAAAAAAAAGTTCCCACCCCCTTGACTTTATAGATTACTTGGATATATTGGCTCTTGGTGATGGAAAAAATCTGCCTGGAGGTCAATAGCGATTTAAACCACAAGCAGCCATCCTTCTTCTCAGTCTGTTTATCCTCAGCCTGCAACTTCCTCAAGCTGACATGATATTCTCACTTTCAGCGCAGCATCCCATGCAAAGTATAATTTATTCTGTATGCTTTGTGTATGTCCTAGGCTGTGTGTGGAAGCTATTTGGCCCCTCTTCTGTCCAAACAGTAGACAATGACTGCGATTCAGTCTCAGCCATAGCAGAAAAATTGGGAAAGGATCTGTAAGAGGCCGGTGATACCACGAGTGAAATACAAAATAAACAACAACTTGTGTGCTGTGAGAGTGGCAAAGCTTCCTGCCCAGAAATTGCAGTAATAGCATGAGAGGAGCTCTTCTAGATCCCCCAAAAATCTTTCCTTGGCTTGGAGAAAACTTTCTCATTATACTCCCCACCCATCTCCAGGATGTGACACTCAGACATTAGTCATCAGGATTTTTCTTCCATAAATTGTGAGTCCAAATCAGGTCTTTTGGATACGCTTTGGTCCGTGCACAATAAATCTGGGAATGAATGATGAGCCATCTCCTCCCCTCCTCACCACCTTGTACTAGCCTATTTGGGTGGGGGGGTTGTGGATTCTTTTTTTTTTCTTTTTTCTTTTTTCTTTTCTCTCTCTCCCTCTTTTTTTTTTGTTTACCTTTTTGTTTTTGTCACTTCTCTGAAATATATTCCTTTAAGAACCTCCTATATGGTATGTATTTGTAATTTGTAAACACAAGATGTCAAAGAATGATTTGTCTCTGTGGTGAGGCAGCCAGCTATTTGCATGTCATGAGGTCTAAGGGAAACAAACTGACCCTCAGCCTTCTTCCAGGCAGCCAAATTCTGATGGGACCCTCAAATAGCTCTGGCAAAGCGTTCTGTTTCTTTTGGACTCACTGAGTGCTTGTTTCTGCAAAGACGTCCAATTACTTCTTCCTTTATTTTGCTCCACAAGTTACCAGGAGAAGCAGCTTGAAAGCAAGCGTGAGTATTGAGTATTTCCTTTTCTCCTTTATGTGATAATGTTTCAATGTGGTAGCGCAGCAGGTAACTGATTGAGTGTTTTAAGCACTTAAACAGGAGCTTTTGTCTTCAGGCACAAAACTGCTAAATTTCATGGCTACAGTTTTTTAAAAATTATTTACAGAATTCCTCATATATTCAATTTTTAAGTTTTGTGTATCAAAAAGAGACGCTACATTTTTTCAGCTGCAGTTGCTTTCTCTCGATTCATTGCCTCGTTAATTAATCTAAGGGAAGATTGCTTGGGTCTGGGGTTTCTTTCTCCCTTTGCGGTTGTATGAGGATTAATATTGTTTACTCAAAAACACAAGCCATAAAAAATGTATGTGCTATTTCCTGTGACATTTGAATCCTCATGTTTTTTCCCATGGTGAGCTTGCCTAGCTATTTGATATTGAAAGGGAACTCTCTAAACAGTGCCATTTCTGATATAGTAAGTCACTAGTGTCTAGTACAGTTAAATTCATTGCTTAGCATGGGTTGCTCTTGCTTTTTCTTTGAAGTAAAAACTGTTTCCAAGCTGGTGTTTATAGCAAAATTTTGCCTTCCTATCAAACCAAGTATCACTTCAAGATTCTCCCTGCCTAAAATACTTAGTTGTATCTTTTATCAATTCCATTTTTAAGATCATGATCTTGGTTTGGGATTTGAAAGGAGTAGAGTTGAAAGGATAAATCTCTGTTCACTAAAATTGTTCTAGAAATATTGCAGAACTTAAAACTATGGGTAATAGAGTGGAAATTTTCCATACTGATTTCTTAAAGGCAGTCTTTCTGAGAATAAGCTTAAAATTAAACTTGGATTAAATTATCAAATGTAATTTATATTTCAATAAAATATTTTTAAATATCTATTTTTTTCTTCACTTTCAACAGATATTTTTGTGTATTGGAACTTAACAAACATCTCTTATTTTTAAAAAGCCTATTTCAAATGTCTGTCTTAATTGTGTCTAATACTTTCACCCATTTTTCTTCTGTTTGCGTCATGAGTTGACATTTCTAGAGTTTTTTAACAGAACAGGCAGTAACAGATTTAATATGCTAACGTTAGAACAGATTTGACAATCTTGCTATGTAGTTCTATTGCGGTGTCAGAAAAGTCACTTTGATTTAGAGTTGTATAATCAGTAGGTGCTTAAGATGACATATTAACCCTCATATTAACACAAGAGCAAAATGAAATCAAAAGCTGTTTGGAAGAGATCCTGATCAGTTGTGATCTAGGGTACCTCAAGGTTATTTGTAGATTGTCTTATCTAAGGAAATGTATATTTTTGGTTGACATGGTGAGACATAAGTTCTGTGGGCCATATACAAAATAAATGATGAAAAGAAAGTTGGGCTTTTTTTCCAAGTTTGAGTTTTACTTATTCCCCCCTCAAAACATGTATTAGTTTTACCTAACCATGGATAGACGGGGAGAAACCTAAAATCCCAAGCAGCAGGCCACCAAATGTCAAGCCTAAAATCAGAGGGTGAAATTCTAACCCTGTTCAAGTGAAAAATCCTCCTGCTGACTAAACAAGGCCTAGATTCTGCTCAAATCTTTAGATTAGCCAAAGTCTTTCTTTTTTTTTTCTGTATATTTCCCTGCCTGCCAATTAACAGTGGGATGTCTTAGGTCTAATCCTAGGATGTTCTTAAAGTTAATGATTTCCTTTTCAACTTTTCAGCTTTTCTACTAAAATTTCTAGAGCCCCAAGGTCTGGAAATTGGAAGGATGAAATGTTGCTCCTACTCCATGTGAGGTCATACTGTGGTATTCACTTTGCTGGGAGCGGGGCATGCAGTCCTGGGAACTCATTTCATAGGTTTATATTTTCCAGTAAAATGTAAGAGGGATGAAAGGGGCACAGTTTCATAGAATTACATAGGAACACTAAACTGATGTATTAAAAATAAGTTAATATTTTGTTCTAGGTCCATATAGAAAGACTAGTAAATTCTGCATTGTGTAAATTTCAAGAGATTATGAATAGTGGTTCTGAATGGGCTGAGAGTAAAAAGGCCCGGTGTTCTGTGTCCCGGTTCCTCACCTGCAAAACCAGGTTTGTTATACTGAGGAGAAAATGAATTCAAAGCCCCTCTACCCAAGCCTGACTGGAGGCAGGTTCACTGTAAAATCCTTAACGACTAGGAACTGTCTCAACTGCTGTGGCCTTAGGAGGTTTGCCACAGAACAGGTCGAATTTCCCTTACAATGTCCTGGGTAAGGATTACTCATAACCCCCAAGTCATCAAGGGCGATACTTAAGTGCTCAACAGGAGCGTTTTATTGCCCTGTCTCGTGGGGGTAGAGCTGCTGCTGGGAGTTGTCCACGGTCCCACCTCAGCGCTCCTTGCCAGGCCGCAGGTCGCAGCCACCCTCGTGAGGCGGCGGCAGGGCAGGGAGCACCTCTCCGCGCTCCTCCGGGCTCGCGCTCTGACCCCGCGTAGCTGCCATTCCATTCCTACAGGCATTAACCTTTCCTGCAGGCAAGCATCTCGCAACCGTGTTTCAGGATTACTTTATTATTGTTAGAAACGTTGCCCGGGACCTTTGCAAAGGGCTGTGTAAATACCTCGAGTATTAAGCTACTAGTCTATTTACCAGGAGCCCAAGTCTTCCTCAAGTGAGCTCCCCAAGGTACCCCTTCAGCAACATCAATATTCATTTATGTATTATAACATAAAAAAAAAATTACCATTCGAGGTCTTTGATTAGCTGAGTTTGTTCTTCCATTTGCATGCAGGAAAAAAAAAAAAAAAGAAAAAGAAAGATCAGAGAAAATCTTTCATGTTGAACAGATCTTCTAATTGTGGACTTTTTGTTTTAGTTTTGTGTTTGAAAGTGGAAGAACAATGAGAAACATTTCTAATGAAAAGCACAGAACATTTTCTTATATAAAATGCAGTAGCAGAGTTCAGATTTGTGCTTAATCACTTGTTTTTGCTTTTTGCTGAAAATCTTTGCCAAATTTAACATAAATCAGCAGAGAACTAGAACTGTATTTTTATCTCAACATAGTTTCTGTTGCCACATTCCTCCCACTCAGTCCAGTCCCATCCCATAACTCATTAGAGTTATGGGCTCTGAGGGCCAGCCCCTGCTACAAGTGGTCAGTTCTGTTCTAGTTTTGCAGAAGTAGTTGTTTTTCTATTGCTCACTGTCAGGGCTCATGCTGTCACTTGAATAGGTAGCATTGCTACCCAAAGCCCTTCCTTAAATTATATTGCCTCTTTGTAAAAAAACTCTTAAATATAAGAAAGTAATTTCTTCATTTTCATTTAAGTGCCGATTTTTAACCCAGATGATTTCTCAAAATTAAATGTCGTCTGTTTTGCGTATTCAGATAATCTTTAGCCTTAATTTTCTGTCCATCAGAACAGGGCAATCTCATATTGTACCCAGCTTTGGGATATTATCTCTGTTTATAATTGTAGAAAGAAATCCACTTTATAAATAACACAGTGCCAAAACCCCCAAAATTACCTTTTCAGATGCCAGGATATTGCAAAAATCCCAGCAGAGCAGTAACTCAAGGGCCAGTAACCTCACATCATAATAATGTAAGACAGAATGATGAAATGTTCATATCAGTGACTAATTTTAATTCCTGGACACTTTTAGCAAGACTGACTATGCTAAAATAGTAGGAAATATGTTTAAGGTATGGTACCAAGATTTTAGGACTTAAGTGAAAAGCTAACTATCCAATCACATAATTGTTCTGAAGACCTTATTGCCCAAGGAGGCCTCACAGAGAAAGTAGAAGAGGCATGGAGATTACTAGTGACACAGCAAAAGTCGCATAGCAAGTCTCTGGTAGGATATGAGCAGAACCCAGAATCGAGCCTAACGACTAGTCTATTTTTCTTCTTTTATTTTTTTTCTTTCAGAGCTATATATCTATTTACTATGTTGAAAAGAAGCATGCTGGATTACTACTAACAGTGAAAAAAACAGATCATCTGTTGTAAATTAGTGCATATATTTGAATGTTTTTTCCTAGCCCCAAGAGCAGCAAGCTGCCCTTGATGCACCTGTGTAGTTATATTAATAAGGTATTCCAGCCTTGTAGCACATTTAAAGTAAATGCAGGGTGGAGGATGAAAGCACAATGTCAACCTGTTGTAATTCCATCTCTTTAGTGAAATGGACAATTGTACTGCTATGTTTCTGCAACGTGGAGAGTTAAAAAAAAATCTTCATTTCTAATCCAGCAATAACTAAGCTGCCTGATATGACGTTGAGTGATATTATTCAGCTGCATTAACTCACATGCAAGTGTTTCTGGCACTGTGGTCCAAGAGACGAGAAAGCACATGTCCGTGTAACACAAGGAGGAAACAAAACAAGTTATATAAGACTACTTAAGAACATCCACAGGGTATTTCCATGTCGTTGACTGGTGGCATCCTCCTGAAAACCTTTATTGCCCTCAAGTCGCAGTTATATAAGCAATTCCATAAGCATTTCACTGTTGTAAAAGCAGAAGAATATGAAGACATGGCATCTTTCCTTGGCTTTCTCCCATGGATGAGACATTCACTGGTTTATCTGCCTAACAGATATATGCTTATATATATATTTTAATAAGATTATGTTGTTTTTGAATGTATTCCAAGGAGGTAGCAATTGCAGAGGATAATTCTAACTAGTTCTACTAGCAATGCCTCCTGAGCCTTATTGCCAGTAGAAACCCAGAACATATAGTCAGCCCTTGCTTTAGCAGCTGGCTGCTATGGTCTCATCACTGCTCTGTGCAGCATCTCATAGAGCGTACACAGCAGTGACTCCCCAGACTGGACCTATGGCTCCAAATTGTCTGCAGAACTGCTGTCTGTGTTTTCCACGTGGAAGTCGGGTATAAGGTGGCAATGGATGGATACAGACTATATAAGCAACAGAGCTGACTGCTGGTTGAGCCTGAAAATCTAAATACCTGGAAACAGGGAGAATTGAAGTAGGCATCTCAC